TGGGCCTGCCCCGGGGCCTCCACCCCTCTGCTCTTCCCTGGCACAGGCACCTTGCCTCTGCCTTGTCCTGGATGATGGGAAGTGGGAGCTGGAGGACTGGGCAGGGTGGGGAGCTGGGGCTCAGGAGTGTGGCCGCTGGCCTCACCAACTTCTGCTGCAACGGCTGCCGCTCCCTGCAGAATGGGCACTTCTGAAGGGAGCTTTCCCCTGGCTTCTCGGGCCACTGAGACGCTGGGTGCTGGTGCTGTTCTGGCGTCCTAGCATGCCGCTGTCCCCAGCTCTCATGCTGTCAGCTTCTGATTCATGCAGCCCACTGACAGTTTTCTAGAAGAGGTTCCATCCGAGCCATGCCCATTCCTCGGGTTTGATTTGGTGGACGGCAAAGAAGAGCCCTCTTGCCCTGTGTTCCTGGGCTCTCAGCCATGGAGCCGAGGACACCTGAGTCCCCTTGGGCCCCAGCAGGAGTCACAGCAGGCGGGCAAGGATGGGAAGGCCCGGTCTCCTGCCAGCGTGGGTGCCTCCGACCACCCACTGCGTCTCCGTCTGTAACACGCAGGCTTTGGAGGCACTGCTGTGTCCGTGTCCCACAGGCTCCTGACGCTCGGAGGAGGGATGCCATGCCCACCACCCTTGGATTCATGTAAAGCCATTACCTGGCACAGCCATGTGCCTTCAGTCTTCTGATAAACAAGGGGACAATGTTTCCAAAAGCCGGTGACATAACTCTTCTGCATGGCACAGGACATGGGTGCCAGCTGCCAGGCAGGTGCAGGGGCCCTGCCAATGTGCGGAGTCTTGGGTGCACCTCTCTCAACCTATCTCACCAGCCGGGCTCTGTGTGCTCCGTACGTGCACCCCATCATGGCGGGGGGCCCTGTCGCCATGGGCCCTGTCACGGGGGCTGCTCCTCATCGCTTGTCACCCCAAGTGCCCCATCTGCACCTGGTAGATGAGCTCGCCACCTGTCTCAGGGGGAGTCACACCTGGCCCTCAGCCCTGTGGCCTTGTGTAATCCGAGGCCCGTGGTCTCTGACGCGGCCCTGTCTTTTTATTCCTGACAATGTGGCGCAGTGACGGCCGGTGAGAGCCCACCCCTCAGCACCAAGCCCTGCCTGGGCCCTGGTCTTGCTGGCTTGGTGACCGGGGTGTTTGGGATTATTCCTCAACTCTGGATGCATCTCTTCCCACTGCCCAGATGTGCACCGTAGCAGGGGACCGACCGTCTGCAGCCCCTCACATTCTCTGTCCTTCCCTCTCCATGGCCCCTGTCTCCTACAGTGGTGACTGGCAGGGACCAAGGGCTCTGGCCAGCGTGGGCAGCCCCGACCGAGGACCGCAGCTCACCGGACGGCTTCTGTCTGGTCCTTCTCCTCCAGTGAGCCCAGCCGCCGCCTCACTTCCTGTAGGAGCTTGGTGCCCTGGAAGCCGCTGCCTCGGCCATCGCATTTGACCACCACGGCCCCGTGGCTGCTCACCAGCACCGTCTCCCATGTCACCTGGAACCGCTCCGCCACACTCTGGCTGCCTGGGGCGCCGTCCCTGGAGGAGACAGTGGGTCTCACAGCCTGGCCAGTACCCCGTCTGCAAGCTCTGCCCAGGGTCTCACCTCCACCAGCCACACGAGCCCTCTGCTTGCTAATGGCAACTTCAGTGCCACCTCTGCCTCCCTTGGGCACTGACCCAGCACGCGGGACTCCTGCGTACCCGCTGGGTTCCATAACGCAGGCTTCTCCCCTCTGTGGGCGTCACGTGGGAGCTAAGAACGCAGCAGCTCCGTGCTGTGTCCCCCGCCTGGCTCTGTAAGGAGCAGCCCACGTAACGGCTGTGGCATGGGAGCCCTTGGGAGCCTGGCAGTGTACTGTTCTCAAGGGGACGGGGGTCTGGAGGCTTCTGCTCAGGCCCAAGCAACTTTCACTTTGAATCTTTATGCAGTATGGGGGACTCCTGCGTTGAGCTATATTCCAGCGCATTTTTGTTTCCTATGTTGCCACAAGGTTCCAGTGAGGCACTCAACTGTGCAGGCTGGGCTCGAACTTGCGATTCTCCTGCCTTTTGCATAGCATTTATTTTTTTAGTGAATTTTTTATTTTATGGCTGAACTGGGGATTGAACTCAGACCCTTGTGCTTGCCAGGCAAGCGCTTATTCTACTGAGCCATCTTCCCAGCCCCTAATTTTTTATTTTAAAGAAAAAAAATGATAATAGAATTTCAAAACAAGATGACAGGAAATTAACAAAGGTTGTACTGTTATGTTCCAAGTAGCTTATTACTAGGTACAGGCATGTAAAGTGGGTCAAACTACGTAAGCACTGACTGTTCATTTCAGCGAGCTAATAGCAGTTAGTAGCAGTTATCTTCGTTGGCTCTCATGCAGAGATGTTTTATCCATGTCCCTCAGTGCCGGGGCTATATCCCGGGGTTGCACTGGTAGGTGATTTTGTCGTGCTAACTTCACAGAGCTCCCTCACACACGCCAAGACTGCCACAGCGTCACTGGGTGATGTCATCTGGGGGGACCCCTGCCATCTGCACGGCCTGTCAGTGAGCAAAACGCCATGACCTGCCATGCCTGCCTTTCCCCTCGGAAGAGAAGCGGCAGGAAGACAGCTGGCCTGGGGTCGGCCACAGCTGGCCACGCGCCCCCCTGTGAGCAGGGCTGCCAGGACAAGCGCACTGCCTTCTCTCCCCTGACTAGGCTTCCTCTGGGAACTGTGTGGCATCGGGAATGTGGGGTGCAGAGCGGTAGAGAGCTCGCAGCCGGGAGAGCTGCACGGGGCAGAAGTGGAAGGGCGTGCTCGTTACGAGACAGCCCTCTGTGAGGTGTGCGTTGTTGCCTTCTGTTTTTTTTGTTTTGTTTTAAGCAGGCCCCACTGGTCTAGCATCCTTGGAGTTCTGGGGTCCCAGATCTCCTTGCTGTCACATTTGAAGTCACAGCAAGAAACAAGCAGGCAGAAAGACGTGGCCTGCAGGCTGGCCTCTAGGCCAGCAGTCTGTCTGCGTGTGTGGTGAGCTTTTGTCGCCCCGACTGCGTCCTCCTGCCTCGAATGCCTGCCTCAGCTCCTTCTGGAAGGAAAGCGAGTCATTTTGCAAACTGAGAGGCTTTGCAGGCTTCCCTTAGGATCCCCAGAGACCGCTGAGTGCCCAGAGAAAGCTGGCTTTGAGGTCTATAGCATTTCTTAGAAAGTTGTGAGAATCTGATGTAATAAGGGAGAAAAGCAGTAATGTGAGAGTGTGTGTGTGTGTGTGACGGTGTGAGGCCGCCTGCTGGCCCCTCCCTCCACATACCTCGGGTGGGAGCACCTGAAGCCCCTTGTGGGAGGTCCCTAGGTGCCGGGAGCCTGATCGGACTCCACACCTCCCGGGCGCAGATGGAGCACTGTGTGGTTGGCCTTGAGGTCTCAACACAGGCCTCCAGCACCTCCAGCACACAGAAGGTGCTCAGTGGGCACTGGGGACACTGCTCAGGTTCCCGCAGGTGACAGGCCACTGGTCCTGCCTGCCCTTCAAGGAGCTGCTCTGGCTCCCTGAGCCCCAGCACTCAGGGTTGCTGGAGCAGATAGAACCCTGCTCTTCATACTGCCGGGGATTTCCAGGGTTATCAGAGCACCCGTGGAAGATGACAACACGATACTTACACCACCAGGAGCAGGGGGTAGTGGACCGTGTCTGTGAAGGTGGCCGGCTTCAGGATCTGCACTGGCAAGTCTGGGGAGAGACCGACACAGCCCAGTGAGGGTGGGGGACAGACGCAGGGTGCACCCGTGTCCCCAGGTGGGGGCTGTGGACACAGAAGGCACAGGTGGACAGTCTGCGGGCACCGCAGGGACTCAGATGTGTGCTCTTGGGCATAGCACCCCATCTCCCGAGGCTGTGCTTCTCTTCTGAAGCTTAAATTCCGCCACACATGTGTGAGCCCACGGAAACCAGGCTGTGCTGGCGGCAGAGTCCACAGGGAGCAGGAGGTCCAGCGTTCTGGTGCTGCGAGTGCCAGAAGCTGGAGTTGGTGCTGGGAGCAGTGAGTTTGGGGCAGGAGGTGACCAGGCAGGGGGTGAGGTGGGCACAGGGAGGAGTGTGCTGAGCACCTGGCCCAGCTCTCTCTCTGTGTACACTGGGTCTGGGCAGGCCTGACTTGGCAACTTAGAGGGGACTTGCTCCTGCTCGGTCACTCAGTCTGATCTTGGCAGCATGAGGTGCAAAGGGGCAGGAGAAGAGGAAGAACCAGGCCTCAAGAAGTGGCCTCTGCTCATCCACATGGTGGTGCATGCCTGTAGCTCCAGCATGGGAGGCTGAGGCAGGAGGATCGCTGTGAGCCCAAGGCCAGCCTGAGTTGCACAGCAAGACCAAGCTTCCACTAAGGCAGGACTTCCTCACTGGCCTCACAGCCCAGATTCCTAAGCACACACTCCAGGGCCAGGGCAGCCTCTCATTCCTGACCTGGTCTTGCAAGCTGTCCTCTCGGCCCAGGGCCAGGTGGAGAGGCAGGCAGGGGGACTTAACATTTAAATGTCCACAGGATGTGTGGGGTTGGGGCCAAGGAGATGGCTCAGTAGGAAAAGCGCTTCCCTGGCAAGTTCAATCCCCAGCTCCAGGGGGGGGGGGGGAAGATGTGTCAGGTGGCCTCCGCCACTGAGAACTGGGGTGGTTGCATTCTGCGCTTGCTGCCTACTGCTTTTTGCAGGGGGCCTAGCCTCTGGGGCAGGAATAGGAGCGTGGGCCCTGGGACACAGCTGCCTTGGGGCCACTGTCCCAGCAATGGAGCCCCGGGGGACAGTGACATCGGGAGGGGCTGTGGTTGGCTGCTGCACTGTTGTCTGAGAGGTCTCGGAAAGCGAAGTTGGGGAGCAGTGTTGCCGAGCTGGTGAGGAGGCTGCGACTTTGGGCCATGAGAGGAGGTGGGGAAGGGCTCGATGCTTAGGGCTGCCAGGGTAGGCCTCCTAGGGACACACGGATGGCCACAGTCTGGCCTACTGGCTTCCAGCTTAATGCTTCTCTGTCTTGGGGACCCCCTTACATGTCTCCTTTATTGCCCCCTTGTGCGGAACAGCCACTTCTGAGGTACTTGAAGGGGCAGCCTCGGGCTGGAGGTGACTTTCCAGACCACAAGGCAATTGGGACTGTGTGCTTGGAGTGAGGGCAGGTTCCAGTGGAGTGGCAGGGAACCCAAGGTCCCACTGCATGGGCAGGGGACAGATTGCCTTTGGGAGGCCACCTGTCCTCCTGCCAGAGGTCCTGGCAGTGCCCTGCTTAGAGCCCCTCTTGCCAGTACCCCTGCTCTGGAGTGGGTCATCCTGTCCCATGCCTGCAGTGAGCCCTGCAGGCCCCAGCCCCAGGGATGTGGAGATTGGGGCTGCTGTGCACAGAGGTGCGCTCTGGGCTGGGAGCATTGCATTGAAGGCTGTCCTGGGCATTGTCCCCTGGGGCTCCAGGGTGAGCGCTGCCTGCCGGATGCACCCAGGAGTCGCCCACTTGGAGGCGAGAGGTGCAGGAGGTGGTGCCAGCCACACCAGGGTCTGAGCACCACGTTCAGAGCAGAGCTGGTACTCACAGGCACAGGGATGGAGAGGGGCCCCAGAGCAGGGTGACAGGCACTCCTCAGGCGGTGACAGCACACGCCTCACGTGCCTCACCATGTGCTCTCCAGCTGCAGGAAACTGCTGTGGCCCAGAGCCAGCAGGCAGAGGCAGGAGGGAAAAGGGAAAAGGACTTGTGCTTACTGTAGTCATCGACCTCGATCTTGCTGTACTCTATTTTGGGCATCTGGCGGTCACTGACGGCCTTCTGCACGTGTTCATTTGTTTCTAGGTCAAAGATCTCTGAAAAAGAGCAAGGAACGTGGCAGTGAGACTCTGTGGTGGTTTCCTGCGCGCCCACTGAGCTGTGGGTTCGATTCCCACCCTGTCCTGGAGGTGACACTGCCATTCCAGCTGCCTCCCAAGGCAGGAGCTTCTGCAGACCAGAGACTCTGGTGCTGCGTCAGGCCGCGCCCTCCCCTCTAGGCCTCTGCTCTCCGTGGTGTTGGGCTCTTACACAGGAAGGCTTGGATCCAGCCTGAGGGGAAACCACAGCACCTCCCTGTGTGGATGGAGGCCCCCCGTCGTGAGGGAAGAGGAAAGACCACATACTACACGATTTTCTTTACTAAATTTTCCCCCCAAAAAGGGACTCAGGTTTTGCGCTCTAGATACAAAGCTGTCAGGTCTCTGCAGCCCTTAATCAGGATGATTATATTTGAGGATACAAAGTCCCTGAGTGACACACCACTGTGTAGCAGGACTGGCACTTCCCCTCCTGCTAGGCAGGCCCATGCCTGTGGCTTAGCCTCGCTGGGTCTTAGCCCTCAGGTTGTGACGGTGCACGAGCGTCCTCACTGTGAACCCCTTGTGCAGGCCGGAAGCAGCCCCATCACCCCACCATCCATCGCAGGGATGGCCAGACCACCTCATTCCAGCAGCAGAGAGGTGAACCCCTGGGGCTCTTTCACGTTTTGCACTCACTGGTGGGCAGCACCCTATGAACGGGGCCTTCCTGGGCCTCCACGGTTACGCTTTGCATCTGGATGGCCCCGGGAGCCTTGTGCGCTGATAGCTAGGACATCTGCGAGGTGGCTGGGCCTACAGCTGGACCTACAGCTAGACCTACAGCTAGACCCCAGGGCCTGCAGCTGGGCCTACAGCTGGACCTACAGCTGGGCCTACAGCTGGACCCCAGGACCTACAGCTGGACCTACAGCTGGACCCCAGGGCCTGCAGCTGGGCCTACAGCTGGACCCACAGCTGGACCTACAGCTGGACCCCAGGGCCTGCA